TCTTGCGAAATCTTCAAACAAAAACCATTGTATTCAATATTCTCAGAAACGCTACCAAACGGGCTTCGCGCGCGCATGTCAAAATCTTTCGAACGCCATGGCGCGCGTGCCGTCGCGAGAATCCTCTGCAAAACATTTGACGAAGTGCACGCACGCGCGTCGTCGCGCGCGTCTTGCGTCGTCGTCGTCGTCGCCGTCCTCCCTCCTCCTTCGTCGTCGTCGTCGCCGTCGTCGTCCTCTGTCTTGTTTCCGTCGTCGTCATCGCCGTGGTCGTCCTTCCTCCTCCCTCGTCGTCGTCGTCGTCGTCGTCGTCGTCCGTCGTCGGCGTCTCGTCGTCGTCCCTCCTATTTCGTTGCCGTCGTCGTCGTCGTCGTCGTCGTCGTCGTCGTCCTCGTCGTCGTCGTCATCCCTCCTCCCTCGTCGTTGTCGTCGTCGGCGTCGCCGTCCTCCCTCCTTCTTCGTCGTTCGCGTCGTTGCCGTCCTCCCTCCTCCCCCGTCGTTGTCCGTTGTCGTCGTTGTCGCCGTCGTCGCCCTCCCTGTTCCCTCGTCGTCGTCGTCGTCGTCGTCGTCGGCGTTGTCATCGTCGTCGTCGTCGTCGTCGTCGTCGGCGTCGTCGTCGTCGTCGTCGTCGTCGGCGTCGTCGTCGTCGTCGGCGTTGTCATCGTCGTCGTCGTCGTCGGCGTCGGCGTCGTCGTCGTCGTCGTCGACGTCGGTGTCGTCGTCGTCGTCGTCGTCGTCATCGTCGTCGTCGTCGAAGTCGTTGGAGACGTCGTCGGTGTCGTCGTGGGTGGTGATGGCGGCGTCGTCGTCGTCGTTGTCGCTGTCGTCGTCGGCGTCTGTGTCGTTGCCAAGTGCCATTTTGTACCTACCGTCACGGTTTAAAGAGGTCTTGCGACCAGGCTGCGGGTGTGAGGGTGGGATGTTTGCACGAGCAGTGGAGAGGACAGCTTCAAGTTGAGCAGTACTCCCCCCCGGAGTTAACGGTCCCCCTTTTCGTATTGCAATTTACAGATGATTCTGCCCCATCGTCCATCCTAATCATGAGTTCATAGTATCCCAGCCAGGCCGGTATCTCCCCCCCCGACATCCTCTGCAACAGATACTATGCGTGCACACCTGTTTATCAAAAGTCGCAAATTGTTAAGAATTCCTGGCATTCCAGCATAAAAACTTAAGACGCAAAAGGTTTTGCAACACAAATTTTGAAAATTCCCTGTTTGCGCGGTCGTGCTAAAATCACACAGCAATTATCGGATTCTGATGAATTCTCCCAAATCCAGCGGTTTCATGTCACCGCGTGGTGCGCCCGCGATACTCTTGTCATGCGCCGAGGGCGCGAATCCCTTGCAACAGATACCGCGCGGGCCACATGCGCGCACCGCCGCGCGCGCATGATAAGTTTAACGGATTTGTTGAACTTCCGCGCGCGCTGATTTCTTTGTCAACATTGCCAGCATCACCGCGATCACGTGTCTCATCGGCAGATGCACATCAGCATCGTCAGTGTGTTTGCCATCATTGGCGCCGTCATCGTTCGTGCCGCCGCCCTCTTGAACATCGTCGTCGCTGGTGCCATCTTCGTCATTGTCGCAGACGAAGTCATCTTGTCGTCGCGCACGTCCGAGTATCGTCGATATGATAAACTTCATCATCGACTCACGTTGACGAGCATCGGCCGTGAGGGTGTTATCATCGATGTCGTCATCGGTGGCGCTGCCGTCCTCGCATCTTTCCAAACAAGTTGCGGGTGGGAGGGTGGGATGTTTGCGCGAGCAGTGGAGATGGCGACTTCGAGTTCAGCAGAGTAAATTGCACCACGTAGTTTGCGCCGCAGGGATTGCGTCGCAGATATTGCGCAACAGACGCTGCGCAGCACAGATCCCAATACATATTGCACAGCATCTGTCGGACCGCAGATATTGCACCACGTAGATCGCACATCACATATATATATATATATATATATCACCATATGTATACGTATGCATACATAGTTATATATATAATCATGTGCGCATACATACATATACACATATACATATATATATATATATGTATTTATATATCCTCGCATCACGTAGATTGCACGGCATACGTAATGGCCTTCGGCCCATCCCGCCACCGTGCCTGGGTAGTGGGTGTGAAACTTATTGGATGTTCATTATGATCTCGTGTGAGGGTTTTCGGGGGCTCCTTTTGAGACAGGCCTTGGGGGCGGTCTTGGGACCACTTGGGGCGTCTTGGGGGCCTCTTGGGGGCGTCTTGGGGCCTAATGGGGGCCTCTCGGACGCCTCTTTGGGCCTCCTCGGCGCCAGCTGGGGCCTTCCGGGCCCTCCTTGTGGCGGAAGGGATCGGGTGTTCGGTTCGCTTTCCCTCCCTTCGGCCCTTTTGGGGGCCGTATTGGGTGCCTTTTGGGCCGTCGTGGGCGCCTCGTGAACCGTCTTGTCGCACTTTTCGATCGTCTTGGGGTCTGGGCCCGTGGAAAATCTATCAGGCGTGAAGATTATGGGTCGGAGACTTGGTGAAGGACCTGGGGACGGCCCATTCCGTGCCCAGCGGCACGGTTGAGGATATTTCCCCCGCATTTGTTGCACCACGTATATCGTGACACATACGTTGTTCAGCATTTTGCTTAATTTTTAATGCGCAACATAGATCGGGCCGCATATTCCGCACCACCTAGATCGCACACGGTATCTAACACAACGCACATTGCACACCATAGTTCGCGCCACCTAGACTGTACCACATACATTGTACCGCATACATTGCACCATCTATAGTGTATGTACCACATATGTTGCCCCACATAAGCGGCACAACCTTGATTGCTAAAGACACACTCTTTGGGGTCTACGACGGCTATCTTTGGTGCATCTGGGTGTATATATTTATATACAGATTATATTTGGTATGTATGGGTATATTTAGCTACGTATGTACATGTATATGTTGGTTCGTGCCGATCGGCTTGCTCCCATCACCGTGCACCCCTAGCCTAGATGCGTACGCATCATCGTAGCATGCCTGGGCATGGTCATGAGGGTGTCTGGGCACACCACGGCTGATGCCTAGGCATCCGAATGGGTATGCCTACGCATGCACCTAAGGATGTGTCCATGGACGTAGTTGGGCGTCATTGAGCGTAGTAGATACGTACGCATCGACCTTGTGATGCCTAGGCATCGGCCTGGCGATGCGTATGCGTCGGCGGGACGGTGCGAAGAGTAGGCATCGATGGTTCACGGTACCAGGGCCAATTGGCCGTGCCAATGTATATGTGCAAGAGCGTGTGTGTACATGTTTATGCTTATGCCTATGTATACGTATACGTAGACGTATACTGGTGTATGTATACGTATATATGCAACTGTATGCGTCCGTCAACCGGTGTATGTACATGTATTTGCACGTGCACTCGTCTGCTTAGTCGCATATGCACAGTTCTATGGGTACACACACACATATATATATATAGATATGTGTGTGCATACGTACACGGGTAGGGCTATGATTGTGTATATAGGTGTCTACATCTACACACGTATACGTTATATGTTTAGAACTATACTTTAATGTATGTATACTCATGTAGGAGAAACCTACGGCGACTCGCCGCCGCCCCCAGCCTTTCAGGCTACGCCTCTGTGGCCAAACGTGCAGGGAACGTTGTGGCCACGCCATTGGACGCTCTTTCGGGGAACACGTGGGGGAGGAAGAGGAGGCTGAGGAGAGGGAGGAGGGAAATGGACGATGAGGAAAAGGATGAGGAGACCTCTTGGAGACTTCTGAAATCATTATGTGGGCCTCCTGGGAGCTTTCTTGGGGGTTCTTGGAGTCTTCTTGTGAGCCTCCTTGGGCCTCTTGGGGGCCTTCGGGGGCTTCTTGAGGGCCTCTTTGGCCTCTCTGGGCCGTCTTGGGGCCCTTTTGGGGCGCTTCAGGGTCGTCTTGAAGGCCATCTTGGGCGTTTTGGAGGCCTCTTGGGCCGTCTTAGGGGCCTCTGAGTCGCTTCCTGGGCCGTTTTGGGCTCTCTTGGACTCATCGTTGGAGACATGAGGGGACAGTCTTGGAGGCCATCTTGGGGCTATCTTGGGCTCTCTTGGGCCATCATGCCCGTCTTGGAAGCATATTGGAGGCCGTGTTTGGCCAGCTTGGCCGTCTTGGAGGCGATTTGACCACGGAAGGGCAGATTTTCTTGGGTTTCCGGTTGGCCGACGGGCTGGACCGACGCGCCAGGGGGCGATCTTCAGACAAGAACCATCAGCTTCCGAGACATCCAGCACGCCGTACGCCCCTGCGGCAAACCACAGGGGGAGGCGGATGACGGAACGCGCGCGTGGCGTCGTGATCCGTCAGGTGGGAGTAATATCAAGGCGGGGTGTGTGGGGGTAGGGGTAGGGTTCGCATGTGGACTCCTAGGATGACGGAGCGCGCGCGTGGCGTCGTGATCCGTCAGGTGGGAGTACTATGAAGGCGGGGTGTGAGGGGGTGTGTCTCGGCGGGCCGAGATCTAAGGACACAATTTTCAGTCGTGTTCGGCCCTCGACGGCCCAAGGCGGCCCCAGGAGTGCCTCAGAGGGTCCGAGGACGTCCCACGGCAGCCCCAAGAGCGCCCCGGCTACCTCCACGACGGCCTCAGGAGGGCCCAAAGGGCCCCAGGACGGCCCGAGAGCGCTCAAAGAGGGCCCTCGAATCTCCTCCACGAGGTCTCCAAAAGAACGCCCAAGAGGCAAAGCTCATCCCATTCGACTGGGAAAGCGTACACTTCAAGCATCTGCTTCTTTGGTCTTCACAGCGTCCACGACGGCCCAAGAGGCCACCAGGATCGCCCCAAGACGGTACAAAAGGTCCCGAAGACGGCCCCAAATCGGCCGCAAGACGACCCCAAGACGGCTCCAAGACGGCCCCACGACCAGCCCCAAGACGGTCCAAGGGAGACCCCTGAGGGCACCAACAGGTTCCCAAGAGAGCCCCAAGAGGGCCACAGGAGGTCTCCAGGAGAGCCCCAAAATGGCGCGGAAATTTGTTGCCACTGCGGTGCACGCCGAAAGGCGAGAGCGAGTTCGAGAGCTACGAAGACTCCTGTCAACGACACGAGCGACGTCTGCAGCAGATCTCGAGGTTTGGCGGCCCTTCCAAGCTCTCGGTGATGTTGAATATCAATGGGGATCGCACGTCGGTTCGGGACGTGTGGAAACAGGCTCTGCGGGAATTTGGCAACCATAGGTTGAGAGATAGGTGCAATACTGCAGCTACTCAGAAAGACCTGCTTGCTGTTTATCGCAGGCGCGTCGTAACAACCGCATGGATGGACGAGCGCATCCAGGCATCACTCCCACGGCCCGAGCGAAACTGAAGGGCTGCACATCTCCAGACAGTGGCGGGGAGCCACCCGAGATGTACAAGGCATTGCAGCTGATGTGCGTGCACCAGTATTGGCAACTATTCCAATATAGATTCAAGGACTTACATTCCGTCGACCCCCCCAGATGAAAACTGATCGATTTTGTCGTGATTCCGACAACTGCTGCGCCAGATATTTTTGGATACTTTCGGTGGCTTGGCAAATTGGATGTTACTTTGAAGTGGTATGTGCAATCGTTGTAACCATCGGTCAAGAGGTGTCTCCTGTCCTCCCCAGTTGCTACGTTTGGATTTCGAGCCGGGTATGCGTGTAGCGATGTGGTATCGATCGTTCGTCAGTGCGTATTTCTTCCAAGTCGGTGGGGTCTGCCGCTGACATTGGTTTCTGAAGATATCGAGATAGCCTTCGATACAATGCTCCACGCGAAGGTGTTCGAGGCAACGGTCGGCCGAGGAGTTCCTCATGACCTGGCATCGGCTCTTCTTAGGGAGGTGTCGGGCATGCAATGCTCTATGGAGGTTCCCGGCTCGGAACCTTCGGGCCGTTTTGACCTGGAGAGAGGGGGCAAACAAGGTGGCCCAGAGACTCCGGGAGTATTTAATATGATGTTCGTGTGGGTCTGCGTTGATTTGCAGTCCAAAGGGGCTGCCGAGGGTAGATAATCAGCTTACACCCGGACGCCCGCCAGTACATCACGTACTTGACTTGGGCGGACAACATATACTTACGAGCAGATTATTTTGAAGAGTTTACGTGTGTGGCTCAGGAGTTTACATCTACTATCTCGAACGTGGGCTTCCGATGGAAGGCGTCCTCCTTCGTGTGCATGGCGTGGGGGACGATGCGCGGCGTGCTTTTGGGAACGCGCTTTGTGGAGGCAGTGGGCAAGCAGGCTTACCAGATAGTCGAAACCACGGAGGTCTTGGGAGTCATGATTAGCCATGAAGGGGACACCACCACTAGCGTCGACCATCGGCTTGGCAAGGCTGTGGGGAAGTACTTGAGCAATGCTGGCACGTATAAGGCGAAGGGCTCCATAGCGTCAGAAATGAGAGCGTGGTTCACTGGTCCGGCAACCAGTGCGGCGCACGGGTCGTCGACGTGGCATCTTGCCCAAAACGTTGTGGTGCGATTGCGACGATGTGAGCTTCCATTTCTCTGGAAGATGCTCGGATTCCGCCGCGGGCCGGGAGAGGGGCAAGTTATGTTCATGATTCGCACGGCTCGTCAGTTGGAGCGGTGGCTTCGCGTGACCAGCGCTCGCCCCCTTCATCTTCGTGTGTTCCAGGGTGTCTTCAGGGCGGCATGGCGGGAGCATAACTTCGCCCATCACGGCGGGACAATTTTTCCTATCTAGTGCCTGGCAAGCAGAAAACCGATTATGGTGGGAGACAGCCGAGCACGTATGAAGCCGGAAACGTAGAAGAAGGATGGCATTTTTCATTTAGGGTATGGCCGCGTTGACTGGGAAAACGTGTTAGTACAAGCCTACGGGGAGCAGTGGCGCGAGAAACGCACGCTTGTTCAACGATGGTTGAATGGATGGCCTTGTGCACCGAATTTGAGAAGCATGTTTGCGGACAGCGGGAGCTTTTCATTATTTCGGAGCAGGCGCTGGCGACAGCGACGGACCAGGAAAACCGCGTATGGGCGAAACGCCAGAGGACGTCAGCGTATCCCTCGGAGGCGTTGCCTACCTCCCACGAGGGTGGCGCCCCAGAAATATCATTTGAGATTTGAGAGTTTTCTGCTGTGGTGAACGGCCTGGCTGTTCTGACCAAGGGAAGCCTCGAGCCAGTCCTGCGCCGAATAACGCCCAACATGTTTTCACTGCTGGAAAAGGGGGATGGAAGCCAGCTAGGGATATAGATGCTGCTGTTATTTGGCGGTTGCGCGATCTTAAAATGATCGCATCGTATTTAGTCAACCACACCAAAAACGAACGCAAGTCTTGGGTGACAGCGTTCCTTGATCGTGCCACGCTGACCTCTGCCGCGAATATCACCGTTCATTTTGACGGTTGTACCCGCGCCGGGCAGTGCTCCGCGGCCGCGTGGTGTATCGAAACTGTTACTGTCTGTGGTCAGAGCACAGCGAGATCCTTTCTATTTCAGGCTGGAATGTTTATGTCTGCCCCTTCTTCTTCATTTCTAGCAGGAGCCATCGCCATGGGCGAGGCTGTTCAGGCGCTGGCTCAAACAGTATCCTATCGTGCGCGGCTGTTACGAGGTGACTTGTCACCTCGTGAGTGACGTAGGCTTTGTTGAAAAAGAGAGGGCCCCAGATGATCCCAAGAGGGCCCCAACAAGCTGGCACTAGTCGCCCGCGACGGCCCAAGAGGGCTTCAGGACGACCCAAGAGGACCCCAAGGCGGCCCAAAGGAGCTCCGAAAGGACCTCCACGGATACCTGGGGAGGCCATATTCGTTGATTGCCGCCAGGTTGGTCGTTTCTCTTTGTGCGACGTGGCAAAATCTTTACACCAAGAAGTCTCCAAAGCATTGAGCAAGCGATCCCGCGCCCTCACAGGGTGTGAGAGTTTCCCGTCCCCGTGCCGAGCAGCTCTATTGGCCTTCGGTTCATCCCGCCACCGTGCGTGGGATCTGGGCTTGGGGCGTACTGGGTGCATAACAGGGTATGTTGGCATGCCTCTCGGGGGCCTCCTTGGAGGCGTCTTAAGGGGCCTCTTGGAAACCTCTTCGTGGCCTCTTGGGGGCCTCTTGGGGCCTCTGGGGAGCGCCTCGTTTTTGGGAGGTTCCCTCCGTGCCCCCTTTTGGGGTCGTCTTGGAGGCCTCTTGGGCCGTCTTGGCGCGCTGCTGGGCCGTCTTGGGGCGCTATTGGAAGCCTGCTGGGCCGTCCTGGAGCGTCGGGAAGCCGACAAGGCGAGAAGGCCAACATCTTTCAGTGCTTTTGCCTTTTCGGGCTCGGTAGGGAAGCCTGTTGGAGGCCTCTCAGGGCGTCTCGGAGGCGCCTTGTGCCTTCTGGAGTGGCTTGGAACGGTCGTGGGCGACCCGTAGAAATTTCGGACTGTCTTGGAGGCCTCCTTGACCCTCTTGGCTTTTGCTGGAACATTCTTGGCTCCAGACAAACTATGCGACAAGACGCGGGTGAGCCCAGGATGCGCGCCGGCAACCCAGCAATATTTGAGATGACGAAGTCCGCGCCCCTTGAAGAATCCTCAGGATGGAGGGCTGTCAGAGTATCGAGCACGGGGCCTGAGGGCACACCACATCGTGCCTCATGGCACGGTGGTTGGTGCTGGTATATGTTTTGGCATCTGTATGTACGTACGCGTGTGCACGTGTATATGTATATTCGCCTGTGCAAGGATTTGTATCTGTATGTGCACAGACTTTCCTCATACACGCATATATATATATATATATCGGTGTGGCGTGTTTTTTGTTTCTTTGGGACCGCCACTAGGCTTCTCGTTGTCACGGCTGTATTCCCCACAGACATTCCAGTCCAAATGCATCCGAAGAGAGGTCCAGGGATCGATTTGTCATGGGAAGTGCGGTTCACCATGAAAGCAGCGGCTCTTCCAGTTCAGTAAAGGGGTCCTTGAGTATTGTTTCGCCGTTTTCGGGCTTGAGGCTCGGGGTGAAAACCATCGCCTGTGTTTTGGCGATGGTTTTCAGCATTGCGTACATCGGATCCACTCACAGTCTTTGTAATACTTGGCTGGTTCCCTGATCTATATCTGACCCCATCCAGTAGTCTTAGTACCTGCTGTTGGTGTCTGACATGTGGTCATCGGTCCGTCTGTAGTATCGGGATTGTTCGCGCGCGTACGCGTGCGTTCCGTGGAAGGAGCGTCCGTAGAGACTCCGCTACCAAGCCAAGGATCTCGGTGTGAACCTGACTACCTACGCAATAAGATAGTTGGTGCTCAATCTTTTAGTGTTGAAGCGCCATCGTAAGGTAATCGTAAGGTATGTACACTCACATATTCTATTCTATTTCAGCCAATCAGCTACAACACATAATATGAGGCAATCGAGGCACAGCATGCGTTTACAGAGTCTGAATGCAATCGCCAGGTAAAGCGAAACAATGTCGTGATTCATTACCCCCTCCCCCCCCCCTCCTCCCCCCCCCGCCAGGCCGAGCTGACGCGCGCCGGTATCTGCCAGTGCCCGCTGCCGGCGGAGTCCGTGCGCGCCATTGGTCGGCCGGGGTTGGCAAGACGAGCTTCCCCCGACCACCTTGGCCTCCTCGGGCATTCGGTGCTTCGTCATCCGCCTCCGCCTCCGCCTCCGCCTCCTCCTCCTCCTCTTCCTCCTCTTCCCCCGCTGCTCCTCCTCGAGAGGTTGCTTCGGAATGAGCTTGAGGCCGAGCATGTGGAAGCAACGCCGACGGACTCACCGCGCTGGCGAGGTCGCCTCTCGTCGGCTGCTCGGTACACATCCGAGAACAAGTGAAGAATCTGCACGCACGAAATGGGCACAGAAAGAAGGGCACAATGCCCAACAACAGTTCCTGTTCATTTTGAACAGGACTCGCTGTCCGCGCCGCCGCGGCCTGTGTCCATTTGAGACAGAAGGCCGCCTGCCCAACAGCGGCCGCTGTTGGTTCGGGAAAACATTTGCTGTTGGGCATTGTACCCATTCTTTCCGTGCCCATTTCGGACGTCCAAAAAGAAGACTCTTCCTGGAGGGCGGCTCTTCCTCCCCTGGCCCGGAGGACGGATATTTCTTCTCGACTTTCTCTGTCCTCCCAGGGCCGCTGGATCACGGGGGCCTCTGGGATCCGTGCGGCCCGCCGCCTCCCACGTGCAAGCGGTGCTGCTCCTCCCGCTGTCCCTCCCTTCCGCCCCGCCCCTCCCTCCCTGCCCCTGCCTCACCCCCCCTCCTCCCTCTCTACTCCCGCTCCTGCTCCTCCTCCTCCCTCCCTACTCCTGCTCTTGCTCCTGCTCCTCCTCCTCCTCCTCCTCCTCTTCCTCTCCCTCTTTCCTTGCTTCTCCCTTCCAACGCCCCCGCATCCTGCCCCCTTCCCTCCCCTGCCTCCTCCCCATCCGCCTTTTCCTCCTCCGCCGCCGCCGCCTCCTCCTCCTCCTCCTCCTCCTCCGTAGCCATTTTGGCTCAAGGCTCATGCTTTTGCGGGCTGAGCCCGTATTGGCATTCACGGATACCGCTAGTCCGCGGCAGTGCCAGAGCGCTTGCGCTCGACAGCTTTTCGCCTACACCGAGGGGTTGGGCTCCCTCATCAGTTTTGACGCCACGGCCAGGCTGCCCTCTGGTCCGTGGCACTCGCCGCTCGTCCCTGCGACATCGACGCCACGATGGCCCCGACGCGCAAGGAGAATGCTTCGCCATGGTACTGCAAGTGGTGCAGGCACGACGTCACGAATCAGCCGTGGTTCAATGCCTCTACCCTTGTCTACTGTAAGAAGTGCGGCCTGCACAAGAGCAACTGTTTCAAGGAAAACAAAGCAGCGTCGCAGCCCAGTGTCTCGGCCAAGCAGCAGTCGCTCGCGGCCAAGGTCAAGGAGCTCGAGGCGCAGCTCACCAAGCTCCGAGAGCATCCCCCTGGGCATGGGCCAGCGACTACGGGTACAGGTGCGAGCCCACCATGGGCTGCTGCGCCAGGGGATGCCGACACCGCCAAGCGGAATAGGATCAAGATGCTGGATCAGTTGCTTCGTGTCACTACTGACCCTGCTGATGCTGATACTGTGGCCAAATGGCGCGAAGAGCGGGCGAGGTTGGACGCCGAGCTCTTTCAAGACAGGCCCATCGAGCATCAGGCCAGGTCTTTGGCGTCAAGACTGTCTTCCGCCCGTTCGCGACAGGCTACCATCCAGGCCACCCGTGACGAGCAACAGAAGAAGATTGACGAGCTCACCCGCGGCCTGGCCGACACGGACTCCAAGCTGCAAGAGGCCGCTGCGGAGGTCCTCCGCCTGGAGCAGCAGACCCGCACCGCCATGTCGCGAGTCCAGCCGCCCGAGGGCACGCAGCCACCGACGCTTGCGGACTTGCTGCCCACCTTCGCGGTCAGTGTGGAGCAGCTGGGCAAGGTCGCAACAGGCCTCGGTCTCGGCGCCGACATGGTCAAGGAGCTGCAGGCTATGGCCGACACGGTCAGCAAGCTGCAGAGCCTGCCCCAGGCCAAGCCACCAGAACCTGTACCTGCTCATGCTGATGGTGCTGAAGCTAGTGCTGAGCCACCTGACATCGAGATGTCTGAGCAGGATTACCGTGAGACTTTGGGTGCAGCAGGGGTCCACGTCGAAGAGAGCGACACCCCCGACATCGTGCGCGAGAAGTCCAAGCGTCTTCAGCAGAGCTACCTGGACACTGTGGCCAAGAAGGCCAAGACGTCTGCGTGAACGTGCTCGGCCTGATATGCTGTTGCTTTGGCTCTTTGTCACCATGGCTAGCTCTACATCTGCGCAGCATGTTGAGAGTGCGCCTCCGTCATCTTCGACAGCGGCGAGCATCTCGGGCAGGGGGGAGAGGGATTCAGCCCCTCATCGTCACACCTCCCTGCCCGCAACGGCTTCCAGTACCAGGACCTCGGCTGGGACTACGGCGCCTACATTATTTCCCCCACTGGCCCGCTCCTCGGGGTGGGGGGCAGCTCCGACCTTGACTGCGGCTCCGCCTACGTCGGTTGCGCCTGCAGCTGGGTTTTTGGCGTCTACGGCATCACAGAGGGCTACTCCGCCTACGCCTACGCGGTTGGCCCCTGGCAGCACGCGCTGCTCACCGACCTCACCTTCGGGGAGCGGCGGCAGAGGGCGCCGACCGTCTTCGGACGGCACGCACCGCTCACCGCCCTTGCCCTCGGAGAATCCAGGCGGCAGAGGGTGCCGACTGCTAGGGGCGTCCTCGGGCCAGAGCGGCCCAGTGCGTACTACCTTGGATGAGGATTATGACTCCTTTCAGGACGTCGAGCCTGGTATGGAAGCAGATCTGTGTGAAGGCGCATTTCAGGATGCGCCCTCTTCGCCCCCACCTTCTTCCCGATTACGCTTCGAGAAATCAGGTCAAGAACGCGCTGCACCTACTTCGCCTTTGCCGCCAGAGCGCACGGAGGTGAAGGTGCAGCCGATGCATGCAGAATCTCAGCCGCAGCTCAAAGGCCCCATCACAACGGTGAACGCTACGAACTACGGCCCTCTCTTCGACTTTTTGGCTACTTATCGGGGAACTATCTTGCTGGCACAGGAGTTGAGAATTGCCGGACCTAGGCTTGGCGAGTTTCAGGCCAGGGCTTTGGGCGCTGGATGGCATGGGCTATGGGCCCCGTCGCCCTCCACGGGTGACTCAGCTACGTCCAACTTCGGAGGGGTCGCTGTACTCGCGCCGACGTACATTATGGTCACGGCCCCACCCGATGACGGGCGCATTATCTATCCAGGACGAGCAGTCTGTGCACAGATTAACTGGGGAGTTGCTGGCGGTATCATTGTCGCCAGTGTTTATCTTGTCACGTCCATTGGCATCTCGGGCGAAAACATTGAGGTGTTGTGGGCCTTGGCCCAGAGAGTGGCAGCATGGAACTCACGGGGCCTCGACTGGATCCTAGGCGGTGACTGGAACGCCGACATCGATGCGCTCAACGTTCGCAACTGGGTCGAGACCATGGCAGCCACCCACTATGTGCCCGACCAGCACACCTGCATTACCGACGAGGGCAAGAGCATCATAGACTATTTTGTCGTCTGTGCCAACTTAGCGTCTCGCATCAAGGGCAAGCCAGAGGTCCAGTATGACTCCACGGTCGTGCCGCCGCCGCACTTCCCTGTGGAGCTGCAGCTCATGGGCGAGGATCGCCCCACGTGGTGCCGCGCCCCTGTGGAGCCGCGACCTTTTGCGGTGGTGCCGCCAGTTGGCTGTGCCAGGCATCCCTACCCGTGGCATATGCTCCAGACAGAGTTCCAACGGGTCAGCAGTGTCGACGACCTGGGCCCGCTCTGGGGCTCTGTGCTGCGAGGTGTGGACTACGAGCTGGCAGGGCGTTACGACTGTGTAGGCGCCAAGGCCATGCAGTGCATCGGACGCGAGGGGGCGCCGCAGTTCAAGTGGCAGCACCTGTCATGGCAGCCGCCGCGCAGGCGTACCTACAAGGAGTTGACTGTGCTGGCCTGGGCCACGGCGAAGCGCTGGGCCCAGCACCTTGTGGCCGAGAAGAAGCGGCTTGTGAGGCACATCGAGCGCCTCAAGCTGTGTGTCGCCGTTTGCGCCATCGCGCCGCTGCAGTGCACCAAGGTCGCCGTGGCCTTCAATGAAGTGGCTGCCTTTTATGGACGTGTGGCTCGGTCAGTGCAGGTGCTGTGTGTTTTGGACGCTGCCTTCGCAGGTTTCTTTCGGCGAGGGCTGACTGGCTTGGTCGAGGCTGACTTTGAGGACGTAGCCAATGCCATCATTGCCAGAGCTGATTATCATCTGAGAACGGCGCAAAGAGCGTCGGAGAGGGCTTGGCGGCAGCGGGCCAAGGAAGCCTTCTTGGGAGGAGCATCTCGGGCGCATTCGTCCTCCAAGGTTCGGGCTCGACAGGAGGTGCTCGCCTACTCCCCTGACGCTCAGCCATGCCAGATGGCTGACCGTACGATCGACAAGTGGAGGGACGTTTGGACGTACCACGGTGCATGCCCTCTGCCGCTGCCTGTCGATCATGCTCAGTGGCCTTTGCTTCCGCCTTTGTCTGCGTCGCAGGTGCGTGGAGCCATCAGAAGCTTTCTATTGAAGACGGCCTCGGGCCAGACGAGGATCGCGCCGCGCACGCTCGATGTGCTGTCCGACCAGGCCTTGCAGTGCCTGGCTGACATGTTCATGCAGTTTGAGAGTTGGCTGGCCTGGCCTACGGACAGGCTCTACAGCGAGCTTGTTCGCCTGCCCAAGCCTGACGGGGACACTAGGTTGATCGTCCTCAGCAATACTTTCGCCAGGTTGTGGGGAAAGCTTCGTCGGCCGCTTTCAGCGGAGTGGCAAAAGGCTCACAGTTGCGAACATATGTGGGGGTCCAGGGCTGGGCAGACTTCGACCGATTCAGCCTTCGACCACAACCTGAGCCAGGAGATAGGACAACTTTTAGTGCTTCTCTTGGACATGACCAAGTGCTTCGATATGGTCAGTCACAGTGCACTTCTCCGAGAAGCCAGAGAGCTCGGGTACCCGCTGAGGCTCCTGTGGTTGCTCCTGGGCTCCTACCGCCAGCCG